GAATGTGATGAGGTAAAGCATATATTGTTCAATTCCTAGATTGTAATCTTCTCAAGAAAATGATTACCACTGCATCCCACCTCAATCCAATGTCAAGCACTGCCCTGTGAGTGTAAGTAAATGATTTTACTGTGAAGAAAACAATCTATGAATATATATAGTGTTTAGCGATGTTCAATCTAGAGCCAACTCTTCTGAACCCGTTTCCCTGCCTAGTGGATTGTATACTGTCTTTCATTTTGATTCTCCACACACAAAATGAAGAAGGTAATTATGTTGCAGAAATGAAAATCTTTCCAGAACAAAATGTAAATGAGAGACTTTGGGGATATTTTGTTCTGCTATATTACTGAAGTGAGTATGTATATATGTGTGCATGAGTACATGGAATTTACAAATCATGGGTTCTTAGTGATCTGGAGTAGTTGCAGATATTTCACTGAAGTTAATGGGGTCATTCACTTGCCAGAGGGCATTGTCCTGCTGCCCTCTTAGTGGACACGTGTGCAGATGCCTCTGTCATCTTTGCTGTGTTGACATTACACTGATCAAAGCCACACTTAACACCTGCTTTTCAAGTACTATGCAGAGTCTCCTATCCAGGACTTCACATCTAGGATTCAAGTCAGATGTTTGTTCATCCAAGAGGGTGTATTTAGAGATTTATGTCTCATTCATATTAATTATCAGTGTCCTTTAACCTTAAAGTTTATTTCCAAAGTTCTATAATTTGAGGTATAAAGCATGTGATATTATTTGCAAGAAATATAATAAATACAAATGTTAAGAATCATAGCTTTCAAGTTTAAGTTAAAGTACATGTATTAATTCAATTCAATTCAATATAATGATATATGCTGATCTTAGAATTTTATCATCATATGCATTTATGGCCCAATAATGCCTTTCTGTCAATTCTCCAAGCTGCTGAATTTATGAGCCAAGAGCTAAGCCATGTAATCTGAAGATTTTCTGAAGTTATATAATAATTTTCTAGTGAAGTATGAACAACCTGATAAAAAATGAGACCGATAACATTTTATTTTTTTGCTTTAGAATTTGTCCCTTTTATTTCATTATGTAGAAATGCAAATTACTTTTTCTTAAGTGAACATTTAACTGGTTGTATAAGACATACTGTCTGTTCTATTGGTGAATTTTCTTATATTCTATCTTTTTGATGTTCTTTTTTTTGGAGATCAACTTTTAAAATAGATACTTAAAGTTACATACTACCACAGATATCTAAATATTCATTCATCTATTCATTCACCCACCAAGTATTTATGAAATATGTTTTCTATATAGATCATTGAAATAAAAGTATTTTGACCCTTTACCAGTGGAGTTTTTTTTTTAAGTCTACAATGAGTCTTGTGAGTCATAGAATCATAGTTTGAACTGACCTCTGAGAGCATATAACTCATATTCTTTCTCTTGTACATGAGGGTGTTCATATTATGGAATGATATCTGGAGAGGTTGACAGACTTGTCTGAGATTGTATGCTAGGTTAGTGGCAGAATTAAGGTGAGAATTACGGCTGCCTTCTTTTATTGAAACCAAGGCTTCACTTTCTGTTTTTATTGTTTATGCATTTATTCATATGTGCATACATTGTTTGGGCCATCTCCTCCCCTGCTCCTAGGCAGAACCTGTTCTGCACTCTTCTCCAATTTTGTTGAAGAGAAGACATAAGTGATAATAAGAAAGACATAGCATTTTTGCTAGTTTGACATAAGGATAACTATAAAAAGAGATTCCTAGCATTGCTTCCATGCACATGTGTATTACAACCTGAATTGTTCATCTCTACCAGACCTCTTCACTTCCTGGTCACCTTCCCATAGTGGCCTCTGTCAGTTAAAGATTACTTTATTCACTCCTCTACAGTGGGCACATTAACCACTTTCAAGTTTTAGGTTTCCTTCCCTTTCTCTATTCTTCCTGTACGCATTCTCCCCTTAGCGTGTGACCCATGTCCAATAATATTACTGTGTTTGTTTTAGGTCTAAAGTCCATATATGAGGGAGAACATACAATTTTTGGCCTTCTGAGCCTGGCTAACTTCTCTTAAGATGATGTTCTCTAGTTCCATCCATTTACTTGTGAATGACAAAATTTCATTCTTCTTTGTGGCTGAGTAAAAGTCCATTGTGTATAAATACCACATGTTCTTAATCCATTCTTCAGTAGTGGGCCATCTTGGCTGTTTCCATAACTTGGCTATTGTGACTAGTGCAGCAATAAACATGGTGAGCAGGTGCCTTTGGGATAACCTGAGTCGCATTCCTTTGGGTATATCCATAGGAGTGGTATTGCTGGATCATATGGCAGATCTATGTTTAGTTTTTTAAGAAGCCTCCATATTGTTTTCCAAAGTGGTTGTACTAGCTTATATTCCCACCAGCAGTATATGAGGGTTCCTTTTTCCCCACATCCTCGCCAACATTTGTTGTTGTTGGTGTTTTTGATGATAGCTATTCTAACAGGAGTGAGGTGGAATCTTAGTGTGGTTTTGATTTGCATTTCCTTTATGGCCAGGGATGGTGAACATTTTTTCATGTGTTTTTTGGCCGTTTGGATTTCTTCCTTTGAAAAAGTTCTGTTTGGTTCAGTTTCCCACTTCTTCCTTGGTTCATTGATTTTGTGTGAGTTTAGTTTTTTGAGCTCCCTGTATATTCTGGTTATCAGTCCTTTGATGTTTAGCCAGCGAATATTTTCTCCCACTCTGTGGGTGGTCTCTTCAGTTTAGAGACCATTTCTTTTGTGTGCGGAAGCTTTTTATTTCATGTAGTCCCATTTGCCCATCCTTTTTCTTAGTTGCTATGCTGCTGGAGTTCTACTGAGGAAGTCCTTGCCCATACCTATTGCTTCCAGAGTCTTTCCTGTTCTTTCCTATATTAACTTGAGAGTTTCGGGTCTGATATTAAGGTTCTTAATCCCCTTTGAGTTGATACTAGTGCAGGGTGATAGACATGGATCTAGTTTCAGTTTTTTGCTGAAAAAAACACTTTTCCCAGCAACATTTGTTGAAGAGGCTGTCTATTCTCCATCGTATGTTTTTGGTGCCTCTGTCAAAAATAAGGTGGGCATAGCTGTGTGGATTCATATCTGGGTCCTCTATTCTGTTACACTGGTCTTCATATCTGTTTTTGTGCCAGTATCATGCTGTTTTTATTGCTATGGCTCTGTAATATAGTTTGAAGTCAGGTATTGTGATACCTCCAGCATTGCTCTTTTTGCTGAGTATTAATGCTTTACTTTCTAACACATCTCATTTTGAGACTACAAATTCTGAACTTATTATAATGTGGACCAAAGTTGGACTTACAGTTACCTTGAAAGTTTACTCACTTATAGAAAAAGATTAGGTAAATCTAGAAGAGCTGAAATGTTGCAAGTGGCACGTTCACTTATCAAAATATATGTGATTTTAAACCTTCCTATATTGAAATTCTAATCTCACTTCTAAACTCCTTATTATATCTACTTATGATAGTGAAAATTCCCCCTACTAAGTAACATGAAGAAATGATCAGATCAGGTGCATAGACCAGGAACATTTGGAAGACTACTAACAAAGAACATTTACTCTATCCATATCATGAATATTCCTGATCCCAGGACAAGTCCTGTAAGCCATGTAGATGGTCTCCAGGGAGCCATGTTAGTTTTACATGGCTCAGATCACTGTTCATTGCTGATTGGACCAGAAGTAGATACTTGGCCCAACCTAGACCAATCACATTCACTCTCTTGCAAAGGAGAGATTGGGGTTCAGACATTGTCAGCCTCAAAATATACTTTGAACTATAATGTGTATACTCAAGAGCTGTCACACAGCCATATGTGGACTAAGAAGCACAGCAAGCTAGTGCTTAAGAGAGAACAGAGCAGACAGGAGGACACTCACTGCCTGGATTCAGCTGGCTTTTTCATCCCTAGTTTCAGGTCCCTCTTGTGACCTGGCTGTCCTTAGATTCTTGCATAAAACTCTATATTCTTACTTAATAAATCTGTCCTGTCTTTCTCTCTCTCCTTTTCTAGCTCTCTTTTCAATACTAGCCAAGTTGTCTTTATTAAATGTAAATAAAGAGTTTTAATTCTGGCGTCATGTAATAGAAACTATACCCCAGAGCTAGAGCTATAATACTATCCTTGGTTTTATTTTATTCCATGGAAAAACCCACAGTACAGGTATATTAGTTACTTTTCTCGTCGTTCTCATTGTAAAATAGCTTGATAATGAGATTATTCTAGTAACTAAGACTGTGAGTGCAGCTCAAGATAGACTGACTTTTCAATAAATTCCTAGTGCGTAACAAAGAGTGATAAAGTGATATTGACTTATCTGGATAAACTAGCTTATACAACTTAACAGTATGTCAGAAAGCCATAATAATACTACATATATCTTAAGTTCATATTTAGATTTTCTTGTTTCTAATATGACTGAAATTTTGAGAGTTTTTTCTGTATTGACAAATGATTCAGATGCTAGTGATATTTTTGAAATAATTTTGAACATTTTTATAAGAAAAGAAAATGGCCATTTGAATTTATATGTTATCTTGATGAATTTAAAGGTATATACAATATTTATGCTTAACATGTTCTAAACATCAAATACGTATTAAAATGAAATATTTATGCAAGTAAAATAAATTAACACTAGCTCACCATGTGTTAAGAACTGTTAAATTTTTCATGTATTAGCCTATTTAATTTTCTTTAAAATACTGTGAAGTGATTATTATGCCTGAATTACTTGTAGTTAAATGACCTACTCAAAGTTCCCCAGCTAGGTATTTAAAATTAGATAGACTTACCACCGCTACAGTTTGAATAAGAAAACTAAGAACCAAGTCTTTGAAAGAAAAGAACTTTGGAAGCTCGTTGGCAGTTTTGGAGAACTCTTAGTCTCTAGAAACTAGGAAAATTACACAATCTTAAAAATCTTTTTTTAAAAAAATTATTTAGGTGATTAATGATTCTTACCGAGGGTTAGAAGGAGAAGGTGGATTCATTTCTTTCTGATAGTGACGGCCCTGGTTAACAGGCTGTAAAACACAAAATATTTGTGAGGAAGGTATTAATCAACACAGTGCTCTTTATGTATATTTTCACATACATTCTCAGTTGAGACACAACTCACAAGAACTGGGAGATCAGGCAAATAGCAGAGTGGTATAAATCAGAAAATGCATGTTATTTTAATGGCCAGTGACTAGGCTCAACCAAATCTATGATGTAATTTAAGTTTTTGTGTCAGAATCTTCCTCTTTGTGCCTTTTGTGGAATTTTATGCTGTTAATAATGATTGATATTTGCAGAAAGAGCAAAATAAAACATAAAACTTATGTTGCCTCCCAAGCAGGAGTAATAACATAGAGATACAAAATATTTACGCCTCAATGTTAGTAAGTTTGTAAGAATAGCTTCTACTGCCATTAATGAGAATCACACATGTAAATCTGAGGTCAAGGTAGCCATTTCCCCCAAGTGTATAATATAACTGAAAGTAGTGATCAGTGAGCTGAGAAAACTGATGCCAACACCTGACAAAAATGTGAAATCTCAAATTTTCCTTCCATAAGAAATCTTTATCATTTCACAAGGATTACAAACTTACATCCTAAGTAGCCTTAAACACTTGCCTCTAATAAAACTGATCTTTTCCCTTTTTATTCTATAAAGGGAGAAAATTCTGTTATATCTAATATAAATTCTCTTTTGAACATCAACTGTAACTACTTTCCTTATGTAGAAAACAACAATGTAATTCTAATAGGAAAATCACTTTTTTTAGCATTCTCATTTTCTTATAAGTTGGAATTTGGTATACATTTTTGAATTTCATTCACAATGCTACTTTCTTACCCAAAGGGGTTGGTATCGGCACTTTGTCACCCATAGTAATGTGGCTCCACAGTGCTGCTTGTATATAACAAGCCCGCATTCCTTATTTCCCATATATTCCTTATTTTAATTGGTCCTGAAATATTAATGACATAGATGATGGGAATTCTTCAGAATAAACTGTCTTTCTCTATAAATAATCTCTTGGAAGTGTTCCTTTAATTTAAATCAAACACCCCACCTGATAATCACAGTCACTTAGCCTGACTACCTGTGATGCACCATGAATTTAAATGCACTCAGATACTTTGGTAACTGAATCAATATCAGTGCATCACTATTTCAGTAATAGGAAACAACAGCTGGGGGAACAGTGGAAGGAAAAACATGTCATAAGGCATATTTGACCTCACTACAGCAATAAGACCTTCAGCAATTTGCAAGTGAAATTTACTTCTACGATTTAGGCTTTATTATTTCATGGCAAAAAAGAAATTAGCAAGCAAAGGCCTGTTTAGGTTCTCTGGACTAACTCACTCTGGTATAGAAATAAATTCATTGGTATTCATTCAGTATTTCAGCTATACTCAGGCTTCCAGTGAATGGATTTCTACCTATTTATTTTCAGTGGCATTTCCATAACTCTAAGAATGATAGTCCTGATATTCAGCCAAATGTCCATTTCTTAATTTTATACTATCAGTTCTAGCTGTACACATCCCAAACTCTTATTCCAAATGACCTTACTTCACCCTTGGAAAATGTCTATTGTGTATGACTTAGCTCTTACTTTAGACTATACAGACTGGTCCCTTTCCATCTCTGCCCATGTTTATACAAAACAGATTCAGTGATGGAAGGAATTTTAAAAAATAACACAATCAATAAAAATTCACATTCATAGTGATTTTTAAGTGCTAGAAAGCAAATGAAAATATCCAGTGGATGGTTTTCAAAGTAATAAGAACTACTGACATGAATAGATAGAAAGGTGAATGACCTGTTGTCTTAAGCTAGATAGTTCCACTCACAAATGGATATTAATGTAGTTCAGGACATGCTATCTCAAAATATGGCACCACGGCATTTGAGAAAACAGCAGCAATGCTCTCGCACCTTCCCTTGCTCTTTGCCATTGAAGCAGCTCATAAAAACCTAGGAAAGACTTTCTGACCTGCCCCTGAAGCAGGTCATAAGACCTAACCACATGAGAAGTGCCATCCCTATACCCAGAAGAAAGGAACATCCTTATCTCTGAAAATAAAATGTCACAGAGAAGGAACTGAAAAAAGTTTCTCCCAGTTTATTTCTGTTAGATCAAATCACTTTGTTCAATCATATTTCTGTATGACTTTGTCAAACCTAGCATAAAATATACACGTGCAATCATTTCTTTGAGTCTTCACTTCCTATGAAGGCTTCTGTGTTATGAAAAACTAAGATAAAATAAATTTGTATGTTTTTCTCTTGTTAATCTGCCTTATTATAGGAGTCTCAGCCATAACCTAGGAAGGATAGGGAAAATGTGTTTTTTTCCTCCATACTTGATGTTTCTGCACTTACGTTTTAGTAAATCATTTTAGGTAGGTGATATCCTGTGACCAACAGTATCAGTAAGAGAAAATAAAATTCAGTTTTTTTAATTTTGGAATTCAGTCATAAATAGACATAAAGGGACCATTAACAATATTTACAAGTAACCATGACAAAAGCAGTAATAGCAATAACTGATATTTATTGAACATTTACTCCATGCTAACTCTTGATGAATGTTATCTCATAGTTGCTTCTCACAGTAATTCTATGAACTACATAGAATTAACAACTCTGTATAACAGAAGAGGACATTCAGAGACTAAGTAGTAACACAAGGTCAGGCCTGCCAGTAAATAAGTGATGAAAGATTTTTAACTCACCCTCTTAACCACTGGTTTGTAGTGCTTACTCCAGCTTGGGAGTTTTCACGTAGAATGATGAATACAAAACTTTTTAATAAGAAGTGTGGCAAAATCCATTCAGTTTATGGTAGGAAAAAAAAAGTGACCCTGAAATACATTTATCTGAAATATATAAGATTTTCTCCTTACCACAAATTAAATACATCTGATTTAGTTCTCATGACATGCCACTATATATTTAAAGTTAAAGAAACTATGTTTTGCCACATTGCTAAATTCAGAACAAATGCATGATGCAATAGACAGTATTCTGAGGATAAGGAAAGTTTATTTCATGGGGTGACTTTCACAGTCACTAAACACAGAACAACTTATACATTTCAATATTTTCTCCTGATAGTACAGATAACACTAACTCTAATATCAGTTTTGTATATCATTTCTATAGTTGTATAAGTGCATCTGCTCATCTGATTTATCTATAGCTTAACAATCAACTACTTACCCTTTTAGTTTAGTAGGATTAAAAGAAAACTCATTACATGCAAAGAGAGTTGAAAAATTAATGAATCTGTGGGTCAGAAGAAATTAAGACTTACTAGTTATAAAACACCTGAAATGCCAAAATATTATGTTTTGGATGCACAACAGCCAGCAATTATCATGTAAAATGCTGATATTCTCTTGAGCAAAGAAATGGAACAAATCATAGAAACAGGGGAACTTGTCCTGTTGGTGGCGCTTTTGCTATGCACTAGTGCCAGAAAAACAGCATTCATAAGATTTACCACCAAGCACAAAATGCTTTGCTTTTCTATGATTAAGCTGCTAGAAATTTGGGGGTGAGGAAGAGAAGTGAAGGCTAAGTAAAAGAACAAGAGATAAGATAATCCTGTCGTGTTAAAAGGTAAGGACAATATTTTTATGTAAAATGTATGACTATGACAATGATGTTGCAAGGTTAATCAAGACCATAAATAACTTGTTCGAAAACTGCACCGTATGCTTATAATTTTATTAAGTGCATTTTGACTTGCTTTTCTCCAAATATTATGCTCTGCAACATGCCATGTTGATGGATGCGTGCGATGAACTTTTTTTTTTTTTTTCTTTTTCCAAGCTGGGAAGACTTATGTGGTGATGATAGGTTATGTTGTGGGAATTGTTAGCTCGAAGGAATGATGGCTTTGGGGCATATGCTAACATCTGCACATTAGGCATGTTTTTCTTGAACCTAGGTTCTTAGAGGGACAGAGAAATACTGAAATAATGAAATCATCAAAGAGTTCACCTGTAAAACTCTGTGGGGGTCAGTCTGAGTGCTAGTGTTTAAGTTCACATCAAGACAAGCATAAGAGCATCTCTGCCCACTCTTATGGCCCTCAATAGCCATGAAAAGGGAAAATGTCCTAGAAATCTTTTCTGATCACTAAGTGGCCCTTTGAGGACAGAACCTTAGGGAGCAGCAATCTATAATCATTGAGAGCTTACTTTGGAACATGCATCCCATGTACCCATTCAGGTCACACATGGCAAAATATGAGGAGCCCCCCACCCCACTTTTTGGCAGTGCTGGGGATCAAATTCTTGTGCATGCTAAGCAAGCACTCTGCCACTGAGCTATACACCCAGCCTAAGGAGGCCTTTTTATTTATCACATTTTACAGGACATGCTAGTAAATGGCAGAGTTGAGATTTGGGCCTAGGTGGAGTCTGTATTATTTTGGTCATCACATGAGGCTATACCCATTAATAGCTATTCCTTTTCCTTAAGAACACACATACACACACACACACACACACACACACACACACACACACACACATTCTCACACATACTATGGTTTTGTGCTATTGTCTGTCAATCAAAATCTTCACCACGATAAAATTCACTTAAAAATTCCTTATAACTAATTCCCAGCTCCTTTCCCAAGGCTGCCTAAAGATTAGTTTTTGAATAAATCTCATGAGGACTACTCTTAACAGAAACCCTCCAAAATTGATTACTTGTAGCTTGGTTTCCACAGAAGTTGTAAAGTATTGTTTTAATTGAATTTGGTTCAAAGCTAGAAACTTTGAAAAATTTGTCTGTCAAAGGCCAATAGATTTTTCAGTAGGCTTGATTTATTTAGCATGAGATACCTACAAAAGCCAGTTTGCTATGAGAAATATGGTTACATTTAATTACACTTTTAAATGACTAATTTATTATATCTAAACACCTTTTAAACAGTACATATTACTCTGAACTATACAGATGCTACTGTGGTAAACACAACAGATTTTGCTAAAGACTTCATTTC